CAATATTATTTATAATTAGGTAAACGTCCTTGATCATTGGGCTTTTGATAAATATAGTAATACTAACTAATAAAACAACTATTCTTAGTAAACCCCTAAGATTATTATGTTTTTTAAGATAACTTAAGTGCTATCCTTGTGAAAGACTATACTACAGATTGTAATTTAGTAATTTACTATAAGAGGCCAGTAAATGTTGAAGTACTCGGTTGAGGTTCCAGGAAAGTGGTCCGTGTACATTTGGATGTTTTGCATACAACTAATCAGGTTATGCATGAGACAGGATTCTACCATTCTGTTTATAATCACACATGAATTATTCAATTCAATCTCGAACGTTGTCACTCCAAATAATGTAAATATTTTTAGACAACGATTTGCTACTGAGCAAAATATTTGCTTATAAAAATTCTTTTTAGTGTACAGAAATGAATATATTAATTCCATAATATTTAAAAGTCTACTAAATACTTACTTACTGTAGTATAACAATTAAGAACAAGTTTTAATTCCTTCACCTCAAAAGTAAAAAAAAAAAGGTAGCAAAAACACTTGACACTAATAGTGCTTGTAGTCTGAAGTATTTTCGAGCGGAAAAGTCGGAACTGAAAGTTACGAAGCGTGAAATTGCCGAGCAGAATGTCTACCTGTCGTTGTTATGCTTGAATGTTTGTCGTATTTGTTGATATAATTGCAGAGCAGTTTGTCTACCTGTCGTTGTTATGCTTGAGTGTTTGTCGTATTTGTTGATATAATTGCAGAGCAGTTTGTCTACCTGTCGTTGTTATGCTTGAGTGTTTGTCGTATTTGTTGATATAATTGCAGAGCAGTTTGTCTACCTGTCGTTGTTATGCTTGAGTGTTTGTCGTATTTGTTGATATAATTGCAGAGCAGAATATACAAGTCTACCTTTAATATATATAAGTCTACCTGTCGTTGTTATGCTTGAGTATTTGTCGTATTTGTTGATATAATTGCAGAGCAGTTTGTCTACCTGTCGTTGTTATGCTTGAGTGTTTGTCGTATTTGTTGATATAATTGCAGAGCAGAATATACAAGTCTACCTTTAATATATATAAGTCTACCTGTCGTTGTTATGCTTGAGTATTTGTCGTATTTGTTGATATAATTGCAGAGCAGTTTGTCTACCTGTCGTTGTTATGCTTGAGTGTTTGTCGTATTTGTTGATATAATTGCAGAGCAGAATATACAAGTCTACCTTTAATATATATAAGTCTACCTGTCGTTGTTATGCTTGAGTATTTGTCGTATTTGTTGATATAATTGCAGAGCAGTTTGTCTACCTGTCGTTGTTATGCTTGAGTGTTTGTCGTATTTGTTGATATAATTGCAGAGCAGAATATACAAGTCTACCTTTAATATATATAAGTCTACCTGTCGTTGTTATGCTTGAGTATTTGTCGTATTTGTTGATATAATTGCAGAGCAGTTTGTCTACCTGTCGTTGTTATGCTTGAGTGTTTGTCGTATTTGTTGATATAATTGCAGAGCAGAATATACAAGTCTACCTTTAATATATATAAGTCTACCTGTCGTTGTTATGCTTGAGTGTTTGTCGTATTTGTTGATATAATTGCAGAGCAGTTTGTCTACCTGTCGTTGTTATGCTTGAGTGTTTGTCGTATTTGTTGATATAATTGCAGAGCAGTTTGTCTACCTGTCGTTGTTATGCTTGAGTGTTTGTCGTATTTGTTGATATAATTGCAGAGCAGAATATACAAGTCTACCTTTAATATATATAAGTCTACCTGTCGTTGTTATGCTTGAGTATTTGTCGTATTTGTTGATATAATTGCAGAGCAGTTTGTCTACCTGTCGTTGTTATGCTTGAGTGTTTGTCGTATTTGTTGATATAATTGCAGAGCAGAATATACAAGTCTACCTTTAATATATATAAGTCTACCTGTCGTTGTTATACTTGAGTATTTGTCGTATTTGTTGATATAATTGCAGAGCAGTTTGTCTACCTGTCGTTGTTATGCTTGAGTGTTTGTCGTATTTGTTGATATAATTGCAGAGCAGAATATACAAGTCTACCTTTAATATATATAAGTCTACCTGTCGTTGTTATGCTTGAGTATTTGTCGTATTTGTTAATATAATTGCAGAGCAGTTTGTCTACCTGTCGTTGTTATGCTTCAGTGTTGGTCGTATTTGTTCATATAATTGCAGAGCAGAATATACAAGTCTACCTTTAATATATATAAGTCTACCTGTCGTTGTTATGCTTGAGTGTTTGTCGTATTTGTTGATATAATTGCAGAGCAGAATATACAAGTCTACCTTTAATATATATGTCGTTGTTATGCTTGAGTGTTTGTCGTTTTGTTGATATAATTGCAGAGCAGAATATACAAGTCTACCTTTAATATATATAAGTCTACCTGTCGTTGTTATGCTTGAGTGTTTGTCGTTTTGTTGATATAATTGCAGAGCAGAATATACAAGTCTACCTTTAATATATATAAGTCTACCTGTCGTTGTTATGCTTGAGTGTTTGTCGTATTTGTTCATATAATTGCAGAGCAGAATATACAAGTCTACCTTTAATATATATAAGTCTACCTGTCGTTGTTATGCTTGAGTGTTTGTCGTATTTGTTGGTATAATTGAGTTATGTCAGATATTGCAAATCATATGGGTTGCTGAACTAAAACGATTTGTCTAACGATTTGCACATAATTGTTTATTTACCGAATAAATTAATAAAGTGCTTTATCGATTTTTATAAGTTAACAGAGAAAAGGTAAGATTTATGCACATACAATCAATAAAAAATAGAACTAAATAAATAATGACCTAGTTAACGGCTGAGGTAAAGGATATATCTTTAAGAAATAATCTACAACCAACCCGTTGGTGGAATAAATACAGTTTATTTATAGATAAACAAAATGAATTACTTCTTTTAAGTAGCCAACCCTTTTATTAGTCATTAATAAAGTTGACTAATGATAAGTTTCACAAAACTATTGTAGTTAATAAACTCAGCTTTAATTTATTGAACTTGTTAGTAAATTGAGGTTTTAATAAGCGATCCTAACACTGGAAATTATTAGTGTAACAAAGGAATAAAAAAATCAATTTGTCCATAGTGCATATTTGGGTTGCAATACGACTAAGTGCTGAAGTGCTATTAATTTCATAATAGTGTTTTAGCTATATAAGTGTAGGCCTATGGACGGGACTTGGTGGAGGGAATGATTTTGCATTGTCTCTACTAATAGTAGATAACAACCAAGAGTATTTCTGTACCAGAGGATGTAGTCTTTTTTAGTTTTTTGTAAAACATTTACGAGAGTTATCTATTTATCTATTTATTTATAGGCAATCATGTTTCTTTAAAACCTTTTTTCTCAGCTCGTGTGCATCGCAGGGAAAATCTACGCATACTGTTGGAAAATATTTTCCTGTAGATGTGCAGAATCAGTTTTTAAATTAAAAGGGACTCAAAAATAAGCACAAATTTTTTTTTAATTTGTTAAAATTAACATGGGCTTTATGGGTTGCCATGGTGGTGACGAAATAACAACGAATTATAAACATAAAATCAAAACAAATGTAAGAAAATCCAATCAAATGTTTTTTTTTTTTACAGTGTGGGGTGAAAATAGAGAATTCTGTTCATTATATATTTTTGGTCGAGTTTCGGCCATTGGACGACCATTTGTGGAATTTGTGGCCATAGTTGCTGTAGAAACATGTGTTAATATAGGCAAAGGTGTGTACGTTGATCTTATTTTGTTACATTTTGTAACCTATTCAAGATCAATAAATTCAGAATAAAAACATTGAGGAAACGCAAGACAAACTCTCGTCACGTGTCTGGTTAGGGGAACTGTAACTGAGTTAGTTGAGTATTCAATGAGATTCACTGATTAGCACTGTAGTCTGCGAGATAGCTAGCCAACAATATCCTACTTGCAATGTGCAGAGTCCCTGTGTGTATAACATGGGTTGGCATGACGAGGTATGTGAGGACGCAGTGCAGTGCGAGGCTTACACAGACTGTTCTCAATTGGGCAACTCTCAAGTCGCATCACGTCGCTGGTGCAGACTGCAGACTGCAGATTCACCCTGTGCAGTGGACCACGCTCACAGGACAATCAACAACTTTTCATGTTCCTCTAACTTACATTTGTCAACCTTCGAGACAAAAGTCCACACTAGTAACACCTCAACACCAACATGCAATCATACAATGAACAATCTGACACTGATACAGCGACATCTAAACCTAAACCGCACACTATCGTATATCAATCTCGTCAGGTATTATATGTTGTTTACTAGCTAATGTATTATGATTTATAAATCTGCCACAATATGTAATCACCACTTTCGGAGTCGCATTCAAATCACAGTAGTTTTACGTCACTGCCTATTTGCAATGTACAATGCTAATGTGCCTATCAGCTTTATGTCAGATAGTTATCCAATGTAATGCCGCTGTATGTACCAACCACACGTATAAACAACAGTACGTGCATACCGTGCATACACAATGTTATACGTTTCAACAGTTACATTAGTTATATCCAATTTTCATAGGTTAGTGGAAATACGGAATTGTGTTTAAGGAACACAACGATTTGTGAACGCAAAAATACTATTTAGTTTGATAGTTTTGTATGTTACCACCAAAGCTCTTCATCAACCTGGTTTATAACTTTAAAACTGAAAGAAGACGAAGTATTTTTTACGTTAAACCATTTTTTACAACCTTGCATGACGTCACGTTTACAGTATAGACCGTCAGCCGTGCTGCGATTAGCATAGGTTCTGGAATCCACCACTGGGAGCGCCGTGTAATTACGGCTACGCACTACGTAGCTACATGGCGCTTCCAGCGGTGGACGCCAGAAACTATGTTAATATCAGCACGGACGATGGTCTATATTTAATTCTTGTTGTCTAAGATAGAAGCTAGCTAGGAGGTTTTTGGGGAACTAACATGATAGTTTCATTTTAATTTACGCTTTTATTCATTGATCCATTGCAAACATGATTTTATTTCAAATTAACCCTAGCAGTCGGTTATGCCATAGGTGTTACCAGCCCAACATTGGACAAGCAGACGTTAATCTTGGCGATGTCAGTGTAGATCTTCTCCCTGACAGAATCACTATTGTCAGCGACACACTTGTACAGTCTGTACATAGAGTTGACACTGTCCTGAACAGCGAGTACCTTCAGATCGATCAGCTGATTAGTACTGAGTGCCTGCAGCTGTTTGTCTATGGAGGCAGCTAGCGTCGTCTGCTTGAACTGACCGTAGCAGGGTTGACCTGGTAAAAAACGAGACTTTTGAAATAACAAACTAACTTAAGACAAAATTAACATCAAGAAAATTTATTATGGTTAGGAAAAGATTTTAATTTTGTCACCATTGAATTGTGTTTATCAAATCGTGGATCAATTATGATAATTTATCAACCAATTGATAGTTACACACGTAAGTAATAGTATACTGTCTAAGACAGTTGTAAATTCCAATCAACTGCAATGGTAAAGTTATTTAGTTAAATAAAATAATACATCTGACTCATGCCATAGATTTTCCAAAAGCATAAACAATTTGCAATTTTACTTAAGATTGTACAGACTTGCTGAGTACTATAATACCTTGCTTGCAGTCTTTCAGTCCCTCACTCGCCTGCTTGTCTAGAGCATCGATGGCTTCTAAGAGAGATTTAGTTGCCTTTACCACGGTTTCATTTCTTTTCCATCCTGATTCGCAATTCCAAACAACCTGTAAATCAATTAAACATGGTTTGAGATACTTTATAATACAAAATGAATAATCTAATTGACCCATGGGGTAAAACTTATATATAAGAAACCCCACACAAATCGCAAGTAGCATATTACCTCAGCATGTAGTGCCCTGTACTTGTTGATGTCAGTCTCCTCACCATTAGCCACACACTGGTCTCCGCCCTGTTCCTTGGCTTGTCCCACCTTGCCTAGATACTCGGCGATGGCCTTGGCTGTAGGCGACTCCAACATGAAGTACCGGTGAGTGTTGAGGAACTCCTCCTCTGTGACGTGGACCTCCTTGAGCACCTCCCTAGCTAGGCTGCCTGTGGCGTCGTAGTTGTACCTGCTAGTGTCGAATCCTCCACTGTATCCTTCTGGAGACTGTGGTGGAGCAGGTGGATATCCTTCCAGAGGTGGCATTGGGAAAGGATAGTCTGGAAATGGTAGTGGAGGAAACGGTGGCATCATTCCAGCAAACAGCGAAGATGGCATCTCATAACGGGGTTGACTTCTCATTGTCTGTAATGCATAAGACATTTCAGAATTTGAAACAGTTCATGCATTTTAGGTATGACTATTCCTTCGGAAATTACTTTCTATAATTAGTAATGATTATACTGAACATACTTATTTTAAAAACTTTAATTAATTCTTGATTAGCAAGCAGAAAACAATACAAATTTATTGTAAGTAATACAATTTCGTATTACTTGACGAAATAATATTGATTGAAAATGACCAGCTACAAACACTGTTTTACTTTTAGGTTGTAATTAATATGTTTCTAAAAATATTGCGTTCTACTATTGTTAAATAAATTGTATCAAGGTTTGCGATTCAAAACGTATCGTTCAACCCTCTTCCCCTGATCCATCAGGGAAAAATATGATTTGTGGAATTCAATACATCTCAAATATAGAAGTGATACCAAACTTTTTTAGTTTCTAAAATCCTATTATGGTAAGATAATCCTCTAGTAAATATATAACTTATGACATTGGAGTTACTACAATACTGAAATTTAATTTACCTCTTTTGATGAAACAGACAATGGAACACAGCAACAGAAAATAAGCACTACAAAATATTCTTCCATAACTGATTCCTAGAAAACACAGATTAGGTTAAATCGGATCACCAATACCATACTTATAAAGTTTATATTGCATTATAAATATTGGCAAAACAAACTCAACACAACACGGCGGACAGAAATGGCGGAATTATACATTGAAAAATATAATAGAATAAAAGCAGAACTCCAAGAATATGATAACATAAATTGGTTCCTGATTGTAATAATTTACGCCTCAGTATATTTTTAATATGCTCAGAGAAGTAGTTGGTATTTAAAAAAAGTATAAAAATGTATAGGTCAAAACTAAGTGTTTCCTAACATTGGACCTATATGCTCTTACCTGAGCATGAATATCGATGGTGAGTAATGTAAAGTTAGATGTGACGGTTCAACCTTGCCTGACACAGTTAACTTAGCAGAACGAACATATGTCATCAGCTGAGAGAGAAGAGGCGTGTGTCAGCAATCATATAGTCATAATATCAAGCTGCTGCTCATATCAGCCAAGAGCCAAGAGACAAGAGGCGCGCGTCAGTAGTAATATAATCATAGAAACAAGCTGCTGCTCCTCTCAGCCAAGAGACAAGAGTCGTACGTCAATAGTCATATAATCATAGAATCAAACTGCTGCTCCTCTCAGCCAAGAGACAAGAGTCGTGCGTCAATAGTCATATAATCATAGAATCAAACTGCTGCTCCTCTCAGCCAAGAGACAAGAGTCGTACGTCAATAGTAATATAATCATAGAATCAAACTGCTGCTCCTCTCGGCCAAGAGACAAGAGTCGTACGTCAATAGTCATATAATCATAGAATCAAACTGCTGCTCCTCTCAGTCAAGAGACAAGAGTCGTACGTCAATAGTCATTTAATCATAGAATCAAACTGCTGCTCCTCTCGGCCAAGAGACAAGAGTCGTACGTCAATAGTCATATAATCATAGAATCAAACTGCTGCTCCTCTCAGCCAAGAGACAAGAGTCGTACGTCAATAGTCATATAATCATAGAATCAAACTGCTGCTCCTCTCAGCCAAGAGACAAGAGTCGTACGTCAATAGTCATATAATCATAGAATCAAACTGCTGCTCCTCTCGGCCAAGAGACAAGAGTCGTACGTCAATAGTCATATAATCATAGAATCAAACTGCTGCTCCTCTCAGCCAAGAGACAAGAGTCGTGCGTCAATAGTCATTTAATCATAGAATCAAACTGCTGCTCCTCTCAGCCAAGAGACAAGAGTCGTACGTCAATAGTCATATAATCATAGAATCAAACTGCTGCTCCTCTCGGCCAAGAGACAAGAGTCGTACGTCAATAGTCATATAATCATAGAATCAAACTGCTGCTCCTCTCAGTCAAAAGACAAGAGTCGTACGTCAATAGTCATATAATCATAGAATCAAACTGCTGCTCCTCTCAGTCAAGAGACACCACTCCAAGACAATTATGACAAAAATATGCCTAGCGTATTAAATATATAGATTGATTTAAAGGTTACTATTTATTTGATCGTGTGTACTGTTCTACAATATGTACTGTACTGATATATAGCTATATTATTTTGGTATAGATATATAAATATATCAAGTAACAAATGGTTGTTTTATGTATGAATACTAACCAAAGAATATTGATAACGTACAAACATGTTATGACCTTTTTGCTTGCAAAACTTTATAATAGTATATTTCATCACTAGGGCCTAAAGTGACTCTTTTTTACCCTAAGTCAAGTTTTACGATCGAGGTGAAGCCGAGGTCAAAAAATAAGCGATGGTTAAAAATGCAATTTTTGCCCGTGTGGTAAAATATATTTTTGGTCATATTGCATAATTAATGCATTAACAAACAAAGCTAGAAAACGAAATAATTTGTATGTAATGATTACCTCTCAAAACAACGACTTCCAGCTTGTTTTAAATTTTGCTAATGCAAATAAGCAGCTGTTTAGTAAGTGATTCAATCACTTCGTATATTACGATTGTGTTACATTATACCAACGATATCTGGAGCAATCGACAACAATATGCTAAAACCTTACCTAATAAATCAATCGATATACAATTTCGATCTATTCGATTGCCACAATCTAAATGTACAACTATTTACAACAGCTGAGTTTAACTCCATAGAGACTAAAAATGATTTTTACTCCCAAGAGAGTAACACACACCCCCCACCATACCCCCGCCACACCACAGCTACAGGAAACCTGCAGACTAAGCGAATTTCCATTTGCCTGATTAGATTTACACTATAATATCTCCTAGAAAAGTGTTTCTTTTATGTTAATTGTTTTGTATTAAATAAATTTATTTTCCAAATTTGACCAATATGTAAACTAGCAAACCACTACAAGTCTACTTATCCTCCATAAGAATAACATCGGGATTTTAAATTCACAATTTTTTGTAATTTTTTCTGTAACCATTAGGCGCATAACAACGCTCCAGTATACTAAATTATTTCTCTTTTTAACTATACAAAATGGTTTGGAAATAAATTGCAAAATGTTATGTTTTTTAGTATAAAGAAATGGGAAAACCCAATTTTTACCCCATAAACCACCGTTCCCATGGTCATATCATACTGGTTCGCGAACTCGTTCAAATAAATGTAGGTTTACACATAAGTACCAAATTTCATCAAAATCAATTAAGTTTTGCTTGAGTTATTGTGCTAACGGACATATATATATATACATAAATATAAATAAAGGTCTATATATGAATTCAGACAGATGGTGTTTTTGGGTTCTAGAGACCTCAACATTCAAAAGTAAATCGGTCCCGGTTCCAGGTCTTACCAAGAGTATTATGGTAATAGCTTATTCCCCCTATATGAGAAATTCCTAAAATACTACTTTAGACCCGCAACGCATGTATTAAAAATTGCTGTTTTTGCTACAGTATGACGAAAAATGTTTTATTACTATTCAATTTGGTATGCTAAAACAAATTCTTAGTAAAGCCCAGTAATTCGCATATAATAATGGGTGTTTTTCTTCTTCATAAAACACTTGTTGAATATTGTTAATCCCAAGAAGAAGCCACGAGGTTAAATTCCCATCAAGGCTAAAAGAATAAAGTTAAGCTTTGAGATATCCGATTTTACAATTCCAATTAGATTAGAACCTTATCTGTAGATTTACATTTGGAACTTTTTCAACAGCATTTTAATACCTCATTGTTTTAGTTAATTAAATTAAGATTTGCTCCAATTTAAATGTGCCATTGAACCTCAACTGTATACATATTTTGTTTTCTGTATGTTGCATATATATATGAGAAAATTAATTAAAATACTAAACTGTTACTATTTGGTATGAGTATCATAGAATCATCGAGTATTTGGAAATTTCCTACAATTTCTCTCTACGATTTTGAATGGTAAAATGGGTAGCCTATAATATTGATGATATTGTATTTATTATTAGACTAGCTGTACACACGAGCTTTGCCCGTTTAACTTCTTAATTTTCAAGATGAGCTCGTTCGCATGGCTCAATCACGTCCTGGTTGAAGTTCGTTCGCTACGCTCACTCACCTTTAGGTTGGAGCTCGTTCGCTGCGCTCACTTGCCTTCAGGTTAGCTCGTTCGCTACGCTAACTCGCCTCCAGGGTGAAGTTCGTTCGCTACGCTCACTCACCTTTTGGTTGCAAATTATCTGTTGTCATACATTAAAAAAAATAATAGTGCTGCACCTTGTTGGTAATCCTTGCAACTTTAATGCTATTGAACGTCATAGAACAGAACCAACTTGTTTAATTGAAACAGCTGATAAGATTCATTAATTCCTTTTAAATATGAAAAACCTTAAGGTTAACATGGGAAACTCCAGAGCCTCTGGGTCGGAGCCCGAGGGTCCGATCAGAATAAAAACAACGTAGTTTTCCTATTTAATACCTAAAGAATCGGTGTACCAAATTTCAGCCTCCTAGGTAAATGGGAAGTGGGAGAATTAGTTATGAGTGAGTGTGTCAGTGAGGGCTTTGCCTTTTATAAGTACGAGGTGTTAGCCCGTCCTACGTACGGGAATTCAGTAGTCAGTTAAAACCGTGTACAATTCAGATCATCTAGTTTACACATATAAAGACAAAGTTTCTTGCAGTTTTAATGTGAAAAATCATCTTGTAAACAAATGTTGTTTGACCAAATATGTTTTTATTCCATCATAGGGCTATACGATATGCATTTTAAATTCGATAATTTTACAATAAAACAGCAATTCTACAATTTTTACGGTGTGAAAAGCGTTGAAGTGAGATTTACAGCCGATTCGCACAGACGCACACTGATTATAAGTAGCCTACAGTAGAGAGAGATTAGTCAATTGAGAAGTGTATAGACCTAGTCAACGATACCACCTTCCATAGCATACCTGCCTCTTCCGTAATTATTATCACCACAATACAACTACTATACACAATTTCCAGTAGGTCTGAATAGAAACGACCTAAATAAAACGATAAAATCCAATAAAATTCACAGTACACATAATTTAACTTTGGTGTCCTAACATCAAAACTAATCGTCACACCTATCCTTTATATGAATTTCACTGCATTAATTGCTAAATAAATAAGTGTAAACAAAGAAAAGTAAAAACAATAACAGTTTGTTTTGAAACAGCTGTTTGGTTCAAATAGAACATTCATTTGAAAAAAAGAACTAGTCACATGTAGCAGGAATATAAAAAGTAAACACGCTAGTAAAGCTAATGACGTAATTGTCAATGTTTATTATCCATACCGTTATCAGTCCTATCCTTGATAATTACCCACCCTCATTGAATAAATGTACATCGTAATTTCCCATATTAGTTAATTTAAACTACAATATATTCATAGTTAAAATAAAAGTGATATTTTCACGTTTGGGGGGGGGGGCTGATGTAGGCACCCCAAACGTAACCACAACTGAACACGATTTCATAAAAGGATGGTTTGACTAATTGCAGTATCCTAGGTCAATGTTGACGTTGTGTTCAGTCTATGTCATCCATCTGTTTATCTTTGTATAAAACCCGGCTGAGGTTGTGGTGGTAATTTAAAATCGTGATTTCTGATTATTCTTGATCTTCTTTTTATGACATCAATATTTCCGGGCCTAATCCAAATAAAGTTAAAGCAAAGCAGACAAACATTAATTGTAAACAGAAAGCTAACATGAAGAATTAAAACATGTAAACATTGTTATTTTTCTAATCTTTCCTTGAAAAGCGGAGCAGTAAAATAATTTGCATTTATCCTTTTTGAGCGGAGCGAGCGAAGCGAGCGTAGCTCTTTGGGATCGACTTCAATGCAACAAATAAAGCAACATCACTCAATAACGGCAGAACACATTTCAGCTAAACTTAA